TTTTTTTTTTTTTTTTTTGGGTCTCCCCTTGTACATGGAAAAGACATTGCACCAATGTCTCCCGTTTGCTCTTTCACACAGACAATCTCTTGTACATTTGATGCAACACAACTAGGCTAACTGCAGGATAGCAGGAGTTAACTCCTGAATTGCCATACAGATGTCTTTTAGCAGCTGTAGTTTGCCAATTTGTTTGTGTACAATTTCTCCTTTTGTTGACTCCACAAAAAGAATTTGAGAACAGTGAGGTTAGGACTGCAGGTCACAGTCCCCTGATCTCATTACTGGTATACTCATGATGGTGTATTTCATTGTGATGAATATCTGACTCTGGTCTACCAGTATCTGCAAAAGGAACAAAATGTCGGTTCACAGGAACAGATGTTCACATTTAAAACCCATGTGACTTCTGGACCACCCTGTATATTTAGTAAATAGTTTAATTTTATTATGCAATATTAACTGTAGATCTCGGAGTCATAATCTAACTATTTGGAAAGCTCAAAACATAGTTATGTAGGGATAAACAACCTTGTATTAATTTAATCCAGGTACAAAACAATTTGACTTTATCAATCTTCTTTTCTGTGTGTGTGAACACATGGTTAGGTTTTAAATACACCACACTCTTGTATCTGAGCAGCATACCACTACATTAATCATTACACTAAATATGTCTACAAATAACCTCATGCTGACAATATGCTGCAAGTCACTCAAACATTTTTAATTGGTTGTTTTGCTTGAGAATTATTTACAACACTATCAAGATGCATGGTAGAGATAAAATCTTGGTAATTTTTAATAAGAATTCTATGCTTTACAGTCTGTTTTCCTGCCTCAAGGTTATCCCGATAGTGTCAGCAAGGACTATTTGACTTATCAATTATGGGATAGCATACAGGTAATTAAAATTGTTAACATTGTGTTAAGTTTAGCTTATTAATACAAATTATTTAATTATAAAATATTTATAAAACTTTATTTTAATTTTAAATATTGTAAATTATAATCAGGCATTTGCTAGCAGTATAACCGGCACACTTTCTACTCATGCAGTTTTAAAGGGAGTTGGCGTCGGCGATGAAACGGCTACGCCCATGGCCGCGACTATAACCTGGTTATTAAAAGGTAAAATACAAATCTATAATGACGACAATGATAAATTTTTAAACAATATTTATTACTTAATTTCAGATTTAATGATTTATTTTTAAAAATAGATGGTACAGGTATGGTTGGACGTATTTTATTTGCATGGATGAATGGGTGAGCAATTTGAAGTTTTTTCTGGATTTTTTTTCTCTTTTTGCCCTATTGGTACAAGAGAGCTTTTCATTATGAGTTTGGCCAGGCTCACAATGGAGGCTGCAACGGGGACAGGTCTAGACATATCTGGGACAAACCACCCATGAAAAATTCCTAGGATTTTTTTACAGCCTATCCCTCTAGGTGATCCGAGATTGAATTCAAGCAGACATCTTAATCGCCTCAGTCATTCAGATTAATAATTATCTTTCCTGTGTTTATCAGACCCTGTCCTGTGCTACTTAGCCACCCCATCGTGAGCCCAGCCGAATCTATGAGGGGCCTATTGGAAGACACTCTTAGTACACACAGGGTGGAAAGATGAAGGATTTTTTTATAAATATTTACTTACTTTCTTACAGATCTAATCTTGACTGTGATCCAAAAAAATGGAGGTAGATAATAATTTATACAAATAAAGTATTAGATAAAGTAGTTGATGCTAATTTGAATTAAATACCGTGATATTAAATTTTTATTTTAGATTATTTGCCGATTTTTTGAACGATGTTGCAATCTTTATCGATCTGCTATCGCCATTTATGAAAAGCATATTTACATTCGTATTGTGTCTTTCGGCCATAAGCAAAGTGAGTAACGAGTTTAAGTTTGTAAAGTCAAGTATATTCAATTGAAATCGAACTTGCTATGTAGTCTCTTGTAGGAGTTGCCGGAGGAGCAACGAGAGCGGCCCTGACTCAGCATCAGGCTCTAAGAAACAACATGGCTGATGTCTCGGCAAAAGATGGAAGCCAGGAAACCTTAGTAAACCTCACCGCTCTTATATGTAGTTTAATAATAATGCCGGCCGTATCCGGAAGTCAAACGTATGTTTCATTTTATTGATTTGTTGCACAGATATTTATATTACATCTTGAAGTGTTACTATCATTTTAGGTTAATCTGGACATTTTTTGTACTGTTTACTTTAATTCATCTATTTGCAAATTATAAAGCGGTCTCTGCAGTCGTTATGGATACTTTTAATATCGAACGCTTTCAAATTACCGTAAATCATTATCTTTCGTCTCAGTTCGATTTGATGTCGGTGCCAGAAATTAACAAGAGAGAAAGTGTATTTATAAAATTATGGAATGCCACTCCAAAAATTGGAATATCTCTATCAGAAACTTTACAAGGGTAATTATATATAAGTTACATTTGCAAGCTTAAATATATGAATAAAATTAAATGTATTTTTGTTGACAGATATTGCAATTTCTATACACTTCAAGACATATACAGAAAAACCTTTTATTTTCTTAATATTAAGAGAAACAAAGGTTATACAAGTATGTTAAACTAATATTTCCTTTGTTTTATTTTACAATAATAGTAATTTTTATGAAATTTTGTTTTTATAGTCGATATAATGATTACACTTCATAATGACAGTAATGTACATACTCAAATGGAAGCATTATTTCAAGCTTGCATTTTGGAATCTGCACTGAAGAAAGGAAAGACAAAGGTAATGTATCTAATATTTAAATTTAGGAGCTGGAAAGACAAATATTTATAAAAAATTTAACTATAAAATACAGTACCAGATATATGCCACTTTGTAAAAGTAGAGTGAAATAAATTGGTTTTCAATATAGAAATCATTGGTTCGTGGTTATGTATAAATTAGTCTGGAAGCGAAGATCAGATAGAGGTTCAGGTAGAATAATTGGCAACAGATCTATGTGGTAAGCTGGAGTTGTGGGTTTGAGCCCCACTCTGAGCTGATCTTTCCTTATAGAACTCATTGTTGAAACAACAAATGTATTGTCTTTATCTCTTACTATTTTAGAGTAGAAAATATGAGGAATGTTAAAAATAAATTCTTCATCGCAGAGACGACCTTTCTTTAGAGGTTATGCCTCTAAAGAAAGGTCGTCTCTGTGATGAAGAATGGTTGTTCCTGGTGATTGGACATGGTGCTAAGTGAAGATATTTTTAGTATCTGCTATAAAATTTTTTAATTTTATTAAAATGTTAAAGAGAGTTGATCATTAATTAATTTTTCTTGTGGAAACATAAAGCTTAGGACGGATCTCTTGGCCAGGAGGTATAGTGGTGCACATGTAAATTTATTCCTGCCAGCAGACAGTCACTGGCAGAAATATCTTGGATGGCATTATTGTATCAGATTTTGTCATAAGTTTGGTTACGTCAAAGTTGATACCATTCGGGCCTTGCTGTGGGAACCTGGCAGCTCCATCATGACAATGCACCTGCCAATTCTTTTGCATCTGATTCAGACTTCTTATTCAAACAACATTCCTCTACATCATTGGGCTCTTTACTCTCCCAATCTGGCTCCATGTGATTTTTGGCTGTTCCTCAAGCTGAAGATACTTCTGAAAGGAACCCAGTTTGAGTCACAAAACAATATTATGCTAAATATGAGTGTGGCTGAACACCATTCCTATAAAAGGCCTTCCTGAAATGCTTCCAACAATGGAAGAACTATTGGGAAAAGTGCATGTAAGATTACTTTAATTAAAGGGGATTAGGGTTTCTGATCTCCAGATGAATATTTGTATTTTTCCTGGTCAAATGATTGATACTTTTTGAATACTCTCATACACATCTTACAAAATTCTAAATGTTTTAATCAGATACTAAAAAAAAAAAACTCAACTGATCACAGGATAGAAAAAGAGCTTTATTCCAGACATTGTGGGTTTGGTTAGATCTGCCATAGACAATGGATGGAGCCCACATATCCAAGACAGGTCACCCATAAAACATTCCCGGGGAGTTGTTTGCTCAGATTTGATTCAAGGCTAACCCTGGAGTGGTAGGCTAACCATGGAAACTTTTTGTCATAAAATGAATGTCTTATTGTTTGTTGACCAAGTATTAGGAAGCCATGCCTTAACTGCCACGGCTTCCTAATGTTTGGGTTTTCCTCAGCAAGATGTATATAGCAAAAACTTGCAAATTAGATAGAATATGACTAGATAATAATATCAAAATTAATCAAAATGGTATATCATTAACTGTTAAACTTATTATTACAATAAGATATCAGCCAATAGAATTTCTATTAAAAATTTGTAAAAGAGGGACCTTGTCGTATTTCAAAGAACAATAAATGTTCATATAACAAAAAGTTCCATGTTTGACAAAGTACACATCTCTCAACAGACCTTTCCGTGTAGGGTACTGCTGGAGCTAGAGTTTTATCTTACCTGTAGTCAACTTCTATTGAAACTGCTCACAATTGATTTACATAATAGTGTTACAGGAGTGTACTTTATCAAACATGGAACTTTTCATCATTCTTTGAAATGTATTCTTATAAGAACTATCATTTTGAAAAGAAAAATAATCTCAATAAAAATATTTCAGGTCAAAGTTTGCCATGTAAAGTCTATGGGCGAATCGTAAGCTGGTTGCATACTATGTATCGGTTGAGTTTCAGCTTTCTGTCAATTTACATTGATCTCTACAACAGGCATTTAACATGCACGGCCTGCCAGCCACATATGTGCATGTTTTAATTTTCTTGATGTTTTTGTCAGTTACGACATTTCCAATGTCGTAACTGACAAAACTGAACCTGTTTTTTTTTAAACTGCTTTAGAGAGAATGTTAGAAGCATGTCAGCACATTTGTTTTCATGCAAAGCCAAAACAAAAACTTATGCTCTAGAGCTCAGTTTCATTTTCCTAGAATATATCTAAATATCACAATGAGCAAAGTCTAAACAACATTCTGTTTATTTTCCTTCGTTCTTTCCACTCAAGTATTAAGGCAGCCTTTTTTGGGAAGCCCATTATGGGTTATTATTACTGTAGGCTAGACATACAATATGGCAGTTTGATAGTAAGAGACAGGGTCCAACACACCCAGATGGATCACACTGAAAAATTCTTGGAGTCCGACTTGTATAGATTTAATCCCACATCCCCCAGAGAGGTAAGCTGCTTTAACACACATTGATATATATATATCAATCAATTAATATAATTTTTAAAACATGATTAATGTTTGTTCATTAAAAAAACCTTCAGTTCCTTTTCTGATTCACAATATAAAAGTTCTGGTTTTAATTATATTTTTGATTTAATTTGCACCATTCATATTTGTGTTAATGGTAAATTAGCAATTTCAATAATTTACACCATATTAAAGTATTTAAAATATCCAGTGTTAAAAAACACTGGATATTTTAAATACATATTTTCATCTATTTTGTTTGAACAAGATTAGAAAAACTTAGTCATAGGCCGACATTTGATAAATGATTATCTTGTTCTGGCATAATTCCACGACTAAGACAATATAAATAGCAGTAGTATAAGATACTTCATTCACCATTGCTACGAGTAGTAGCCGAATAGTTGAAGTTGTATACCATCTGTCACTTAAAACGTGTTTAATTGTAGGCTCGATTTACCGATGCTAAATTATAACAGCCTATCTGATTAGTTAATTTACTTTCCAATTAAGGTTTCCTAATGTGTTTGGTTGATAAATTATTAATGACCGATGCAGCTATGTGAAAATAACACTATTGTAAAAGTGGCTTCTCTGAAAATTTCATCAAGAATTAGTCATATATAGTAAGAATTATAATATAAAATGATGCCAAGTAAAACACATTGAACCACACTGAATTATCAGTCATATCAGAGAATGCATTGTTAAGTCATCCAGAGAAAAATCACCTTTTGTCTTAAAATGGTGGCTTCGAAAAGAAGGTACCAAATTAAATCCAGGCACTTCTGCTTGTGCCTCGGGGGTCAGAGGCAATTTCTTCAATACTTTGTAGCTCCTACCCTGCTGTTTTAGGGCAAATGGCCATCCCAGTTTCTCTTCTGTTATGCTGTTTTGGTTGTGACTGAGAAGTTGGCAAAAAATGTCAACACTGACTCGTTAGTGATGAAATGATGGATAATATACATAAATACTGACGTGTATTTCATTAGGCTAATCTACTGACCACCTGTGCTTGCTAATTAGTCCTTGGAACAGATCACTATTTTTAAATTAGTTACTTTTTCTCAAGTATTTCGATGATATATCATTTTTTCTGCTGTTACAGGCAATGACAATTTTGTTACACCAAGCTGGTCATGCGTTACTTCGTTAATTAATGTTTATGAGCATCGCAATTTAAATATTTAATGTCTTTCTCTTGTTGCATGTTGAAAACTTCGTGTTATTACATGACTTTTAAGATCTTAAAAATGTTAGTTACACAATATCATAAATTTGAGTGCACAGTCTAATGTCGACAAAATTTTTTTCTAAGCACAGTTTTTTAATTCCTTCCAATTAACCTTTACACCTTCAATTTGAGGGCAGATGCAAAAAATGATCACTAATTTTGGTCAACCGACTCTGATACAAAGCACTCAAACGAAACTGGAAATTGAAACGTCTAGACCCCGTGTGAGCATTAGTTCTATTATTTTCATTATGAATAAAGCATTGAGAATGTTTTCTTTTGTTTAAGGGACAAACTAAATTATAATTTCAAATGAAACAAAACCCATAAACATAACATTTGGACTCGACTCCTTATATCATGACCAACTAATTTTATTTCAGTTGCTGGGAGATACTGTTCTTGCTTATTTTGAAGTCATTTTCTGTTAAGGCATGTAATTAATGATAATTAGAGGATTGTAGCTATGGTTTTTTACTCAATTGCAAAGATAAAAAGGCACAAAATTTTATTGGAAAGCAGAGATACTGAACAAAAACCACCTATTAATACTATTTTTGTTCCTAACCAACCATGGCAAAAGATTTAAAATTTTGGGAAGAATTAATTTTTAAATTCAAGATTGAAACTGTTTACAGTTGAAATTTGTTAGCAAATCAAAAGCATAATTTCAATTTCCAAATAATTAAATGGGTGAGAATCGAAGAAAATTGGTTGAAGATTATTTAACTGTTGATAATTCAAATCACATGTAAAATTTTAAAATACAAACAAATGAAATTTGTCAACAATTTCAGTTTCACAATTTGTTAATATTAGGACATTATATTTAAAAAAATTGTATGAATATGAAGTTAATTAAACTTCCTATGCTTAAAATATGCTTCTAATTATGATATATATGGAGTCAGAGTCCACAAAACATTTGCCGACTTCTGCCAATACAATCCAACCCTGGTCATGATTATGGACAGGCATTTCTATACAGACTTGTTTCCCCCATCTACTATAGTAATTTTCCTATACAGTCTTCCTCTGTGAGTAACTTCCTCAATATACAGTTTGCTTTGTGATATTTGAATTGGTTTAAACATCAAATTGTTTGAATATATGTTTAAATTCCATCCTGAAATTATATATCAATTACCCTTGCTAAATTAAGATAATTTACAACTGATAGCAGCTGTATTTTTTTAAAGAACCACATTTATAAGGCTTTCCCACATTCTGATTTTGTAAGCATTGTTTATTAATGCCAGATAATATTTTTGGTCAGATAAAAACCCATTTGTTGCTTTCACAAATTGATACATGAGATATCAATCATCATTATGATCGACATGTTGATGAATGAGCCATGGGGAAATTCAATTCAAGTCAATTGTGCTCTATCGTATTGAGAATTTATTTAATATTGTTTATATTGTGTTGCTAAACTTTACATTGTTACTCACTACAGAAACAAGGTCGACGACACACACCGTTCCAATCTTAATAGCTTTTCAACTAATTATCCAAAAAATTTTATTACAATGGATCATTAAAGTGAATGTTTAAATTAATTTGGCAGACAATGAAGACCATTCAAAGTATAGAAATACACAATGAGAGAAAGTGGATGCTAAACAATGCAATATTTATCTACAATCAGATCAGGTTTTGACAGAGGAATCATTTATATTTGTCAAAAGTAAAATGTTTATATTAGTGTGAGAATCACAAATGACCCTATGAATTTCAATCTTAATATTTCTTCAGTATTCAGACTGCTTTAATTTTATAGAATTAGAAATATATTTATTCAAGTAACCTCAATTATTAATTCCTTTAAAGCAATCTTTGAGTTTTAGCATTCAAAAGTTTATTATTCTGTTCTATGTAGAAGATACTTTTCTAAATACCAATTGGTTATTGTTAGAAAGAGAAAATGCCTTTTATTTATCAATATATAACATGAGGAAAATACTGGAACCATGTCAGATTTGACCTTCCAGATCTTTTGCAAATCTTGACATTCCAAACTCCCTGAACCCAAAAAAATAAATCTAAAAAATTCCCTGGACATATTTGTGTTTGCAACTATTATTTCAGGATGGAGTAAGAACTAGGAAATGAAATTGGTATGGAAAGTTGTTCTTAAGGAACATTGATGCTATTAAAATTTAGTTGTTAAAGGTTAGGTGGGGAGAAAAGGGATCACATGTCAATGTTGAATGGAGTTGGACTTATAATGTGTTTATAATTACTAATTTTGAATTTTACTTACAGAAAAATTCTTGGCAAATGAAATTTTTTCCCGAACAACTAACAAAAGGTATATTCATTTGTTTACTAAACTCTAATGTAAATCTTAAACTAATATATAATTTTCTAATTGAAGATAATGCAGAAACTATTTTAAGAACGTCGAGAGAGATTACCGTTCGTCAATATCCTTCGTTTCTAGAACATCTCGGAAGGTTTGAATGGAATACTAATCATGTTTTTTTTAAAACGGACGAATGGAGAGCTGAATGGAATACAAAAAGCAATAAAATTGAAACATTATGAATATTTTACATGCTTAAATGAAACAAAACAAGTAATGTCTTCAAACATTATAATCCTTTATTCTTTGGTGTACAATAAAAAAAAGTCCTAGCAGTAAAACAGATCTTGTTTACGGTAAAACAATAAATAATTTATACAGAAAAAAAGGACTATGCATTATTTTTAAAGACATAATGCAAGGTTTAATGCATGTAGAAGACTATGTATATAAAACAAAATTCTTTGAAAATAAGATACTTTGCTGTGTAAAGATTTTTATCACTACCCGTAATCGGATTAATGGAGAGAGATCTGCTTATAACACTCATCACAGATGAAATGTGTAACAGAAAGACTAGTACCGATTAACAATGGCTTCACACAACCAGCCAAAGGATATAGCATGCACATGGGGTAAGTAGTACTTATTAACATCACACGTGTTTGTAAATTTAAGAAACGTAACAATACCCCATGACAATGATTAAAGATTAAGTATATCCAACATTTTTTTTGGTAAGAAAATAAAGTCTTGCCAATAAATATTTCTTAAACTGGCGTATCGTTACATATACCATTTATCATTGGAACGTGTTTACTTGGAATATTCCAATCATTTTTTAACGAAAGATTAAACATAGAATAAGAGGGATCTCCTGTAACGTCTTTTGTGATATTCAAAAAGTTAGGTAAACGTTTCTTGAGTTGTTCTCCTTTTAGAGTAGAATATGTTTCCAAAAGTATAAGCTCTTTGCATCTAGAAGTATAAACAATTACTAAATTTGTAAAATTTATTATAAATTAAGTTCAGAAACAATGTATTCTACCTTGGATGACAGGGTTCTTTGTAAATATCCAACTGAAAATACATATCTTGCCAAAGAAAACATCGCCGCTGCTTATAAACTGTATAATGGGTATCGTCCCGTTGCGATAATATGTTCTAAGAGAAAATTTTCATTACGGATGCATTCGTAAATATTTCAAAAACTAAACACAAATTACATACCACGTAATCACGGTGAGTTAACTGTCGCTTTACTTCTATTACTTGATTGTTGACTTCACACCGTCTTTGTGTGTGAAGGTAACTCCAATTACCTATTCAACAATCAATTTGTTTTAGACACTGCCCACTTACTGCACTTAATATTATATTTTTATATACATATAAAAATGTATTTACCATTTTGTCCTCTTTTGCGTAATCTAGATTGTATACGTGGATTGGGAGAGACTAAATAATCATGGACAACGTCAAAATCTTGAAACGGTGGGAAAACCTGCGAGGAAGAAGTTTAAAGTCAGTTTTTACAACAATGAAAATAATTTTTATGAGAAATTATCGAACACTTCTTACTTCATCACTGGGTAAATTTGCAATGAGAAATTTCAATTTCAGACTGTTAGTTGCTAATCTGTCTCCAGTATCGATACCAATTCTTCTGCATACAATCTGTATTAGTATAAAATATATCAAAATCTCGCAGTGATGATATAAATAAAAAGATCCTTAAAATTTCTTAATACTTACAGCTATTGTTTTTCTTAATTTTGTATCAAAATCTGTTGTATTATCAACCACATCAATGTAAGGATGACCAATCCAAGCCTATAAAATTAATCAAAAAATATATTAGTAACACAATAATTGTTTTAATTAAGTTGTACATTTACTTTGAAATAATACAGTCAATAGTAAATGAATACAACTTAAATGTAAAAATTCATCCCATTTTGAAGAAACCATAATTCAGAAACAGTTATATTTTGCTGAAAAACTCAATTTTATCAGCATACAAAACTGATTTAGTGTTCTACACTGAAATTTGTGAAACTGTTTTCAAAATAGAACATCAAATCAATTTTGTGAGGCCTCTTAAATTTTTTTTTCTTTAATTAGAATTTATAATCATAATGACAGGTGGACCAATCATTTCTGATTGAATGATGATATCCCTCGTCGCTTTCAATCAAAATGTGAATTCAAGGAGAGAACCATTTAAAAACTAGTTTTAAAAAATTTAAATTACCTAAAACGATGGAGTCGGATTAATTTTTCAATCTTACATGATTGTTTTTACATAAGATTGGACCTTTAAAAACTAGTGACTCAAGGGCATGAAGTTCTTTCTCCAAGAACTAAGTTCCGAGAATTTAAATCATAAAACACACCTCATCTCAAAACTGTTCTTTCTGCTAGATTAGTGGTTCCCAACCTTTTTTTGACTTTCGTACCCCCTTTGCAGGCTACTTTAATAGTAAAAAAGTTTTTTTAATTGAAAATTGTGAGGAATGATAAATATAATTATATTGTTTCATTTAAAACTAAGCATCAAGTGTCATGACATCGCCAAAGGCCACAACACAGAATTTGAATATTCTTATAGTATATCCATCATTATTAAATTTTTTTGTGTATCTGTAAACCACAAAGCACATAACCCTGGTTGGGAATTGGTGTACTAGACCAATGTCTCTCAGGATACGCTCCAGACATCTAAAAAACTTTTAAGTTTCCTGTGTTCTCTCTCTGTGGATGAACACCTTAGCCGACCTGAACTTCTCACTTGAGCCAAAATTCCCCCGGGGCCATCAACTTATAAGACACCAATCACTGAGGGACTTATTGTTAATCTATACTAATATAAAGAGGTAATGTTTGTATGTATGTAAGTTTGTATGCAGCAGGTCATCTCCGAAACTACTCACCGATTTCAAAAATTCACCAATATTTAGAATGGAACTTCAGGGTGGACATAGGCTGTATATTATTCCGTTAAACATTCATATAAATTAAATTAAAAGATATAATCTAGGTTAAGGCTTTTATGTCCAACAGATGGCGCTATGAGTACAACACCCTAAGTTTGCTTTTCTGTGAAAATGAACTAAAGCAGATCATCATCTATCTATTTATATAAATAAAAATGTAATGTTCGTTTGTTCCTACCAATTCCTTTGAAATTTTGACACAACGCTGCATTTGAATACGCACGTGTTTTTATATAATATACATGTCGAAATTCAACCCCACTGAAGAGAGATGGTTAGGTTTAAGGCTTACCGTGAAGAACTTGGCTTCTATGATACTATTTTAGATGCGGGTTTTTTCGTTTTTTATTGCGTTTTAATAGGGTACGTCAAGAGATTGTACACTAAGAAGAAATTTTTCGAATAATTCCCCCCCATGGGGGAAGTGTTATAAATTTATTAATAAAAATAGATAAAAATAGTGTTAAAAATAGATACATTTTGAGCCACAACAACGCATGGCGGGGGTCTGCTAGTATAAGTCATAACGAGAGGGTCCAATGTTGTTGACATTCAGACCCTCTCCTTAGACCAATAAGAAGAATTGAATTCTCTATAGACAATGATAGAAAAATTTCGTAAGCATGTTTTTTATTTNATATTTGCATATAAATTTTCATTATTAAAATGTTTATAAATTTGAATATTTACGAATAAAATTTTTTTATATACGAAATATATTTAGCCGCCATCTATTGTCGAAAATTTGAATTAAAAACTATCAGATCTACACGTGGCCTAGTTAGACATTAGCCATGGAGAATGGACAAATTGTTTGTTTTGAAAATTACGGTTCGAGCACGCGAAGGAGACGATATATCATGGAAAATAGATGCAGTCGGCCTATAATGATCGATAACGAAAGGAGATTTTCCAGTTTGAAGAATTTCTTTACGGTGAGTTAAAATTGTAAACATTCAGCTGGAGTAAGTAAATATTTGTGTAAGAATTGTTTACGAGTAGCGTAAATATTATCTGTAGAAGCTTATAAATATTTGAGATTTATGGAGAATTTATAAATATTTTGCAACGTTATATCACGTAAATGTAATGATTTGTTGATGTTCATGGTGAAATACACACACCTTACACGTACCACATACAAACAGGTTGACCCAGAAGTCACCCAAGGCCTTTGTACATGAATAACATGGAAAACAAATGAGTTCTCATGAAAAGCATTTATTACGTTTTAAATAGCCACACATGCCAAATATTAATAGAAAAAGATAACGTATACAACTGTCTGTCGGCGTTATATAAAAGTAATTTATTTTGCAAGTACTTTCCACGGTATGTATCCATTCTCTTTGGGCAGAACCGTTCGTAGAGAATAAAGCATTTGAATTTGAAAAAAAGAACCTGAACGTCAATTGATGTTTTTTCACATTGCTCGTCCTGTACAAGCATGGAAAGAACATGGCTAATGATGCTACAAGGTGTTTTATTGGAACCGTGTGATTTACAACTTTAGAAAATTAAATGATGCTGGTATATCTGGCTTGGGAGAGGAGAGTTGTGCGATGATAATGTTGAGTGATTCCCATATGAATAACATTTTTTGATTTCCATGGCATTTTAGGAGGGAAATTTGCAACCGAAGTGGCTCAAAATGACTTTCTATCACTTTTTTAGCTAGCTCTGTTGTACATTTGTTATGTGCTACGTTGTCACAATGTTCTGTGAAACAGAGGCGGAGCATTCTAGTAGTAGCTCCAATATATAATAGGTTATATTTATTATGCAGATAATACGCAGGCTTTACAAGGGGGGGACACAAAAAAAAACCAAACTGAGACCGCGCTGCCATTCATAGTTGAGAGTTCTCCCATTACATGGGGTTAGTAGAGACCTTCATGAAACAGCTGTGCAAACAGCATCAGTTCGTAGGTTTGTGTTTGATTATAGTGTTGTGTTTCTCTTACTGTTATTTTGTTCTGCATGCGAAGTCCTGGGCATCCTTCAACATCTTGAAATGATGAAAACGTAAAAATCCGTCAAAAAAGTGTTAAGACGTCTGCAAGAGGATGTGTGAAGGAAACGTCCGGAACTTTGGCGATCAGGTGACTGGTTTCTTCATTACGACAATGCCCCCGCACACACAGCCTTACAAGTGACCCACTGTTTGGCTTCTTGGGGATGGCCTGTCATTCCTCACCCTCCGTATTCACCAGACCTAGCCCCGTGCGACTTTTTTCTGTTTCTAAGAATGAAGAAAAATCTAAAAGGGAAGCGTTTTGATGATGTGGAGGCGATAAAAACAGCTTTGCCAAGGGCACTGGACGATATCAAAGTTGAAGAGTTCCAGAGATGCTTCAAACAGTGAGGAAAAAGACTTCACAAGTGCATTGCATCTAATGGAGAGTACTTTGAAGGTGACTGAAGAAATTTTGTAAAAAAGTTAATAAATAAAGTTTTTATACAAAAAATCCGGTTTTTTT